CAGGGCAGGGCCAGGCAAGGGATGGTGCTGTGGCAGCAGGGCTGGGGTGGCAGGACCAGCACCTTGCCATGCAGGGGCAGAAACTCCTCCAGGTGGCTCTCAAAGTTCCAGGCATCCAACGGGACCTCTACCTCCCCCAGGAACGTGTTGCGGCCAAAGCGATCGTGGTGCCAGACCGAGAACTGCAGCGTCCTTGCAAGCAGGAGGGACTTGTTAATCTCGTACTAGAAAGAGAGACAGGAAAACCACTGGTGAGCAGGCAGTGCCAGGCAGGGGACAGGCTTGGCAAAGCCATCAGCCACAGCTCTTGAGCAGGAGAGGAGACAGGTTTGAGGAGCAATGGATGCACGCAGGAGACTGTCTTCCTTTCCAAGCCTGCTGAAACCTCAGAGTCCTGGGGCAGTGCTGCAGGAGCCCGTGCTCTCCAGGCAAGTGGTCCTCAGAGCCCGTGCAGAGCCAGGACCAGGACTCATCTGGCCACTCCACCCCATCCCACCACAAGTGAAGCTCTGCCAGCCCACTGAGCCTCAGGTGGTCAGACAGCAAGACCTCAGCAAACCCGGGGCTGTGGGAGCCTGGAAACCCAACCACAGTTCCCACTTCCCTCCTGTCCAGAGCGCCTGGCCTCAGCAATGTGCTGCCAGGCTTGGGGATGGAGCCAGCCCTTCCCACCACCCTGCGGTGGCCAGGGCAGGGACCATGAAGCACAGTGCCAAGTGCTTCTGCCCTGTGGCCCAGAACTGCCTTATCTCTGCCTCTGCAGCTGTGCTGCCCACCCTCCCACCACTGGAACCCGCCTGCAATGGCCCAGGAGCCTTGTCCACAGGGAAGCAATGTCCAGGGGGAGCAGAAAGCCCTTGGCTCTGGGAGATGCCACAGGAACCAGGACACACATTCACATCTGCAGCTGTGCCTCCATCCCACCAGGGCAGCCAGGGCTTGACACCACAGCCACATCAGAGCAGTGACCCAGCCTGGGAGCAGGTTCTTCCAGCTTTCAGGGTGCAGTGTCTGAATGTGAGTCCTCTGCAGAGCCCCCCAACTCAGGGTTTGGAGCCCATCCATCCCCTGCTTTGTTCCAGCAGCATCCCCAGCCCCACAGCAGGGAACGGGCTGCACCCCAGCCCATCCCCACTCACCTTCAGCAGCTCATTGTACACGGGGTTGATGGTGTTGCGTTTGATGGTCGTCTTGCGTTTCCCTTGCCGGGATTTGTCGGGCAGGAGATAGGTCTTCACATATCTGAGTGGAACAGCAGGCAGCATTTCACCAGGGTCTCCCCACAACTAACCCCCACCACCTCCCTCACCCACCAGGACAACCCCAGATCTGCCACACAAAGACCCTTCCCACTTACAGTCCCCATCTCTGGCGGGCACCCCACAACCCAGCTGAGCACCACCAGCGGTGCCACCAGCCATCACCCCCTCCCAGCTCTCACGGGTTCGAGCGCTTCTTGCCCTCGTCCCCATAGGCCAGCTGGCGACACTCCTTCACGTGAATGAACAAGGTCTGTGTCTTCTGCTCGTAGCTCAGGGAGAAGGAGATTCCCCCGGTGACCGCAACGTTGCCGAAGTCGCCGGCCTCACTGTAAATGCTGACCATGCTCCCCAGTGTGCTCTGGAAGACACAGCAGGGCTGAGCCAGGTCAGCATCGCTTGGTGGGTCCCTCTTCATCCTCAGCAAAGCTACTCCTCACACCTCCTGCGCTCAGCCCCTCGCCCCTCCTTGGCTGGGGATGGCCACTGAGTGCCTCCCACGTGCACACAGGCTCCCTGAAGAGAGCTGGATCTCTGCGTTTCAATTCCCTTCAAGGGCAGGAAGCCCCCACACCCCAAGCTCTTGCTCCCACACCCCAGGAGCTGCCCACCCAATCCATCAGCACTGCTCTTCCCCACATCTGTGGGGCAAAGCATGGCTGCACCACGGAGACTCACCGAGGAGGTGCCGCTGCGCATGCTGCCCCGGGCCACCCTCTGCCGATGGATCTCCACCAGGTTATCGATGTCCTCCTCCTCCTCCTCCTGCAAGGAGAGAGACAAGCTGCCTACATGGGGAGCAGCAGGGCATGGCCAGACAGGCAACCGACTCCTCCACCCATCAGCCAGCCCTACGGCACACGAGGGTCTCACCAGCTCCGTGTTGAGGCCAGGGACTGACTTGCTCCTGTCCCCCAAAGAGCCACCTTCCCCCACAAAGTCCTCCGGACGCAGGTCGATCACCGACTTGGTATAGTCTGCACAAGAGATGGTGAGGCAGGAGATGGTGGAACAGGGCAGGACTAGCAGAGCCCGGCTGCTCCAGCCAGCCCTACGGCACACGAGGGTCTCACCAGCTCCGTGTTGAGGCCAGGGACTGACTTGCTCCTGTCCCCCAAAGAGCCACCTTCCCCCACAAAGTCCTCCGGACGCAGGTCGATCACCGACTTGGTATAGTCTGCACAAGAGATGGTGAGGCAGGAGATGGTGGAACAGGGCAGGACTAGCAGAGCCCGGCTGCTCTCTCACTGCAAGGGCTGCCCCAGCCCCTCCCATC